TGATGGCCACTGGAGATTTACATGGTCGTTAATTTCAGGGCCTGTAGAATTAGTTATGGTGCGTGTAAGCTGGCCCGAACACTCACCTTAATAAAAAAATAAAAAAAAATAAAAAATAAAGAAAACCCCTAAAATCACGGCATGATCAAAGGAGAAAGAAAAGGATGGGACAAAGAAGGAAGAAAGTAGGGGCCAGTCGCCAGTATTGAAGAAAAGCTAAAAGAACCATGTTTATGACAAAGGACCGGGTAATCCAAGAAACCAATAGATCATCGCCACATGTTCACCCTTATCTCCACATGTTCACCTCAAAAGCTAATAGATGGTCGTCACGTGTTCAACTCTATCTACCCCCTAGAAAAGGATAGAAAGTAGGAGAGAGAAAGGTTAAAAAGGAAAGACAGAAATAAAAAAAAGGACGTGGAAAGAAAGTAAGGTCCTGTAGGGGGCCGGTATTGTAGAAAATAGGAGATGAAAATTAGTATGAAAAAGAGGATGATAGAGTCGTTGTCCATATCATAGTGGTTTTTATAATTATATTTAATTTATATAAATATTAAATTAATATATTCTTAGTATTTTATATGACTTAAAAAATATATGTGTAGTGTATAAAAAACTATTTTAATATATTTTTAAATAAAAAATATTTTAAAAAGTATATGTCACAGTACCAAATTATATTATAAATTAAAAAAATGGGGTTTTATGTTCATTAGTACTTACTTAGAGTCATTTAATTGTGGACAAAAATGGTGTATTTTTTGAAAATTTTTAATTTTACACTTGATTTTTTCCCTTTTTCGAAATGGACGAGAAGGAAGAAGCAATTGTCATTGCAATACTGTTAAGGGGTTATTGGATCGTCTAATTCAGGCAAATTTAAGTGGTATCCATCGATAATTTGAGAAAGCCGCCAAGATAAAATAAATAAGGGATTAGTTTTACAGTTGTTAACAAGTTATTCTTAAGATTCTCATTTATGCTACTTTGTCAGAAAAAAATGGAACCATGCAGACCTGGATTCCAAGTATTTTGTCATCATTCCCTAACTCAACTAAAATCTGCCTCAGCTTTGCCTCCGCGTCAGAATGAACTGGGGTGTCATTGATCCACTGTGCATTTTCTGATGGCCCCTCAGCAATCTTCCTGGCAATTGAATTTCAA